TGGCGCCGCTCTTCACGCTGCTGAACCACGCGGAGGGCTCCGCGGTGCCGACGGAGCACGCCGACGGGTCGCTGACCCTCGAGTCCGAGTCCGACCTCGCGCGCGGCGCGGACGTCTGCATCGACTACGGCCACGGGGCACACGGCGGCGCGGGCGTCCTGCACCGCTACGGCTTCTTCCCCCCCGCCGCCGAGACGGAGTACGTCGTCTTCGCCGAGCGCTCGGGCGACGCGGAGCTCGAGGCCCTCCGGGGGCGCCTCGAGCTCCGCGACGGCGTCACGCTCCGCACCTCCGGCACCGCCGCGACGGCCGAGGCCCTCGAACTCGCCTCCCTCCTCCCGGTCCTCGACGCGCGCGCCCGCGCGGCGCTCGCGCGCCACCTCGACCGGCGCGGCGACCGCGGCGGCCGCGGCCGCGGCGACGACGACGGCGCGTCGTCGTCGTCGTCCTCCGCCGCCTCGAAGGCGCCGTCGTCCTCGCGGTCGTCGTCCCTGGGCTTCGGCTCCCTCTTCGCGGCGGAGGCGGACCGCGACCGGGCCTACGCCTGGGTCCTCCGCCGCACGCCGCAACTGAGAGCGAGAGGCCGCGCGCATTGCCGCGCGACGCTGGCCGCCGCGCTCATCGACTCGCACGCGCACGCCGCCACGCCGACGGCGACGCGCGGCGCGGCCGTCGCGGCCCTCCGCGCCCACTGCGAGAGCTACCGCCGGTCCCGCGAGGCCCTCCTAGAGGCGACCGCCGCCGCCGCCGCGTGAGCAAACCCACCGCCGCCGCCGCCATCGTCACGAGATCGTCGTCCCCGCCCGTCGATCGTCCCCGCCCCCGCCGTCGTTTCCGCCATCGATCCCGCCCGCCCGAGACGCCCGCCCGCCGCCCGTCGCTCGTTATGTTGCATATCACTGGCAAGTTTAGTTAGATTGATATCCAGTGATATCCCATGCTTGCGCGCGAGCGCCTCGGCGCGCTTCGCGGCGATCGTCGCGCGCATGCCGCCGTCGAAGGGCGGCGCCGCGGGAGGCAGCCGTGTCCGCGCCCTCCGGCCGCGGCGCGTCGACCGCGCCGCGGCCCGACCGGTCGCCGGCGACGCCGCGCCGGACGAGCGCGCCGGCGCGGTCGTCGGAGGCGTCGCCGCCGCGGCGAGGCTCGACTTGGAGCTTAGGGGCACGCCCGGGGCGATCGATCTGTCGGCGGGCGCGGCGGCTACTGGTCGAAGAGCGAGTCGCCGCCGCCGTCGATGGAGGCGGCGGCCGCGGCGAGCTGGTCGGCCTCGCTCGGCGGCTTCGCGGGC